TCCGATATTTCCGAAATGCGTTGAGATGGGCATACATCATAGACGGGTGTACATAGGTATTGCATCTGGCATAGAATCTTGATCCCCGCGCAACGCGCTTCGGAAACGGCACGATACGGTTATGCAATACTACGTTTGCGTAAAGCCTCCAACCTCCGACTTCGTTCCTCCGTTCCTCCGTTTCTTCTTTTGGACGCGATCGACAGATGCTCCGAGAAATGCCGTCTTTTCTTATCCCGCGGTATCGGTATATATTTCTCGTCTTGCGATCGCACACGAGTACCAGCAAAAAGCACGACGGAGGCAGCTTCAAAAAAAAAAAAAAAAAAAAAAACGAAGAGTCGAGATCCACTTCGGTATTACTGTCATTCGAGTGCTTTTTTCTATCGTGCGAAAGGAAAGGAGGACGTTACGTGACCGAGATTAAAAGTTTCGCTAATTTATCTGAGAAAATGCGACTCGCGTGAACATGCACAGAAGAGTACTATTTAGAGTTTATAATACCCATGTACTTGAATTCCGTCCAAATGTTCACTCCAGATATTCATTTCGATCCTTCTCATTGCACGATACCTTCTGTATGCATTTAATTAAGTGTAAATATCCAGCCTTCTTATAGCGTCATCCATCTTGCTCTCGGATTCGATCCATCTCCATCCGTCTTAAGACTGCTTAGGTTTCCCTAAGATTCCGTGGCTCGAAAATAATTACAAGCGCAACGCGAATCGTACTCAGTTCGGGGTATACACGAGGCTTATTATTTTCCGAACCTCTCGATCCATCGAAGCGAGAGTTTTTCCCCAATCTCGCGATTCTCGCAGCATCTACTTCCGGAAGTTAGCGAGCGAGAAGTCCGCGCGCCTTCCTTAATGAAACCTTTCGAGGCAAGGATCAGGAGAGACAGAGAGAGAGAGAGAGAGAGAGAGAGAGGGAGGGGGAGCGGTAAGAGACCGTATAAAAGTCCGGATCGTGCAGTCGAGTTCGATAACGAGGCCGGAGGAGCCAGCCGAGTTGCGTTTACCTTCGAAGTCGCTCGGGGAGGCCGTTAACTCCGCACGCCTCCACCTCGAAGGGCGGAAAGACATATCGAAAAAAAGAAAAATAAAATAAAAAACAGAGAGAACTGTCTAAATGCACGCAAAAATGCCATAAGCCAGCGTATGCTCTAATAACCGTAGCGACCGCTACCGTCGGCGAGAACGAGGTTTAGTGATGTCGGTGGTGGGAAGTTCGCGAATGGCGTGGTTCGAAGGGGTAGTTCTTGAAAAGCTAGTTGGGGTTCCACACGCGCGTTATATTCAATAAAACCCAAATGTACCGCAAGAGACCCTTTTCCGCGCGACCCCGCCCCCTAACCTCACCCATTAGGCTATTTTTACTCTTGTCGCTTCGCCTATTTTCCTTTGCCCTTTTCTTCCCTTGTTCTTCTTTGTCCTTTGTTTGCACTTCGCTTTCTCTATCTTTCTCTCTTGCACACGTATCCCAGTGCACGTTACGGAACGGCAGATCGTTCGTCGAAGTTTATTTTGCGTAAGCGACAAAACTCACCTCTCACGGCGGTGTAAGATGCTTGGCATTCTTTTCTTCCCGTTCTCCTTCCCGACGTCATACCATGCTGTGAAAGTCACCCGCGAGATAAAGATAATCCCTGCAGTTATGAGCGTCAAAGCGGCACCTTCCGTTTCCGATGCTAATTAACTGGAGTCTTATTTTAATCACGAACGAATTGAGTATTGCACGTTAAAAGAAATGCTTGTAAGGGCAAAGTATCTCTGCATTTCAAATTTACAAGACATTTTTGTGTGTAAGTTAATAAAAGAAGTGAATTTGTATTATTGAAAGCAATTTTTCTCTTAAAATTGTACACGCGTAACCAACCGACGAGATTGCGCGATAATAATAAAAACATCAAAATTTTCTATAGCAGCTGAATAGAATTAGCTGTTTGTATTCCACTGATGACAATTTTTGTTGTAGCTTATACCGTTATGTTTTTTCCATTATTTTGACGTCGAGAGTCAACAAACATCACTCATATTGAAAAACATCGTTCGTATCGAACTGTATATGCACTTAATGTACGATAAGAGAAAAACAATATTCGATGTCACGCGCCCATAAATTTGACTCTGCGAATAGCGCCTTTATGGTTGATCGCGTATATCGTGCATTATTAATAATGCTCGTTTTTCCAAGGATCGTATTCGGAATACAGATTTTTTGACATAGAACCACGGTAGCAAGATATTTTTGCTATTACTAATTATGAAAACAGTTCATAATACACGAGACTTGAGGTATCCTTATTTAGAAAGAAAATGAGAATATATTCACATACACGCATACGAATTATATAATAACAACTGTCATAATGTATCATAGTCAGATTCTCTTGTTTTCACGCTGTAGCCGCTAATGTCGGAGATGACAGGAGATATCCGTATCGAGGAGCCGTACTGCCGTCGTCGGCATCGGTAGGGAGAACGATAAAGTACGTGAAACTCTATGGAGCGGGGATGTTATTGGGTCGCGGCCACTTAATATGCAAATGCACTATAGAGGCAGGCAGGCTGTTGTCGCTCGACCCCAACCTGGGTCCAGACAGCAGACAACGCGGCCAATACTTTAATTTACATTTACATTTAAAATTGTTCAAGAGTTGACAGCCGCCATCTTATTCATTTACCTCCCACTTCCTTCCGTTCCTTCTTTATCTCTCTTCCTTTTTCTCTCACTGTATTCTATTGAAACGATACTCTTGTCACCCAATTCAGCCGCACTCTAAAACATTTTTTTTCAAAAACTATTATTGATTAAATTGTATAGAGAGTTTCTTTGGCAAGGGAAAGTATCTTTTTTTCTTCAGATGTAGGAAGATATTTTCTTCATTTATCTTCTTCAAAATTAAAAAATTTTAAGTATAATCTTAGGACTTGCATGGTTGTCACTCCTCATTTCAGCGCTATTTGATACTTTTAATGATAATCTTTCAAAATATATATCGAGAGCAAGATCGGCACGCATGAGCAGATAAGTAAAGATGCTCGAATCAGTGTTTTTAAGAATGTTCTTCATACATACTTTCTGATCTATCGACAGTGCGCGTCAGCCATGTTGTCGTTTCGATGATGCTCGATTATTCGGCATTCTTTCACCCTATTTCGCTGTTTCGCAGCCCTCGCTCGCCATATTATGTAGCCTGTTTGTTATAAACGATGAGGCGCGTCCGGGAGCTTTGGTAGTCGTGCTTTTTGTGCGACGCTGAGGATTTACCCACGTCACGCATTATGAGATTCGATATCACGATACACACGCGCCGTAATACCATTAGATCCGCTCGATGTCTATTGGCGATGGCGTTGTTTGTGGTGGGCACCACCAATCGCAACACTTAATGATTGAAAAGAGTCCGATTGTCCATTTGCAATAATTTGTTTATATCTATCGATGCACGATAGCCCACCTTTTTATTACATGATCCTTATTATTATAATAATTTGTTATGGTTTTGTTTTTTGTACTTTGCTTTTATTTTTATGAGAGTATCTATATTTTTAGAAGAAAATTTTATTGCTGTAAATCTTATAACTATGTATGCAGTAATTCATATTTATCGTTATAAAAATGTACTAATTACTCTTAAATCTTAATTAATTTTTTTTATTACAGTAATCAAAGAGAAACACATATGGGTTGATTACTAAGATGTATGTCGATGTACTTCGATCAATTATCAATAAAACACACTTGTACATTAAACGTATTTAGTTATAGTCAAATAGTTATTTTGTGTTTTGGAAAATATATATGATTGGAAGATACGCAATATGATTACTATTCGAAATAAATATTTTGTTATCGTATCGTGGTTTTTTGATTATGCATGTGCGATGATTTTATGATTATGTAAATGCACTTGCACATAATAATAAATTTAATATTATTACTTCAAATAATTATTCTGTTTTAATTTTTTTAAATGTATTTCAAGTTAAAGTTTACAAAAGTGGATTATTTGATTGACAGTTAAATAAAATAAAAATGTAAAAGCGAATAGGTATAAGCTTAACAACTTTTTATATGATAATTATTTTGCTTATGAGATAATTAAATTTATGATTAAATTTATTATCCAAGGGTTTAAGCAAAGAGAGATGAATACGATATGTTATTAGTTATTTATTTTGTATTAATTGAATATGATATGATTTCCATATTTTATAAATTTATATATACATATTTTCCTAATTCTTATCTTACAATAATTTACAGAAAAAAAATACATTTTTAATTAAATTTTGGAATCAGACAAGATACTTCTTATATCTATCATACGTATTTTTGGATGCTGAAAATGATGTGAGCCGAATTTTTCCAACACGTCAAATTTCTAAAATAATTGAGGTTTAATATACAAAAAAATGGCTTCTTTTTGCGTTATTTGAGGATTTTTTTATAAAAGATATTAATTGATATCTTATATATTTTGAAATTTTGCTCATTAGAAGTCATATATTATTATGAATATATTATTCTTCTTCTTAAACGTATTTTTTTTTATTTTGAAATTTTATTTTTTTAGCCATGAGGAATTTTAAATCAGAGTTTTGCTCTGAATTAAAATAATACTGACTTTTGCTATCTTAGAAAGACTGTATTAAAATTCTTCTAAAAAATAAGATATAAAAAAAATGCTTTTTATATAGGATAATAGATTTTGATGACTTCTGATCAGAATTTCAAGATATCATTAACATTCTTTCTCTATAAAAAGTCTTTAAATATCGCAAAAAAGCCATTTTTTTGCATATGAAATCTCAATTATTTTAGAAATGTGACATGCTGGAAAAGACTCGCGGCTCGCGGCATCGTTTTCAGCATCCTATAAAAAGCACCAAATCTATAAAAAGCACAAAAACCTATAAAAAGCACCTTGTCTGATTCAAAACAATTTTTTGCTAGTGTTATTTTCTATTTGGTTTTTATTTTAATATTTTTTCATTCAGTGCATTTAATTGATATATATAGAAACTATCAAGCATTTTTTGTAATATAAGGAAAAAAGTAAGAGACATTCTGAATCTCAATCTTTCGTAATATATTATCGTGCAGCGAAAATTTCAATCTCAAGTACGTTCCCGATCATCGGAACGGATATCCCGGAAGTCGACGAATGTTCGGCGAATTGGCTCGCGGAGGAAATCGTGATGTTCGGCGGTGGATACGAAGTGCTTGCTCTTCCGCAGGAAACGATTTCAGACCATAGAGGCAAACTCAACACGGAACGATGCACCCGATGCTGTCGTCTCTTTCCACCTTGCACCCTCCCTCCCTGGCTCTCGCGTCGTGTGCGGCATTCTATCGCTCTTGTGCTCGTCTCTGTTTCCGCTTCTGGTTTCGGTCCTGCTTTGGTCTCGACATCGTTCTCGGGATGTTTGAACCAGCACGACGGGCGAGAATAGAGGGTGTGCGCCACATGCCCGAGGGGGTTGGCGGGATTGCCGACACACCGCAACATGGTTGAGCTTTTGGGTCGCCGATCGTTCCAAAGCAGCTGTAGTTTACTAGCCTTTCAATCGGTGTCAATCTACAGTAAAGATAGAGTGTATTTATTTGATGCATCAGCCGATTCTTTCAACGCTTCTCAGGTCCACACGTTGCGTTTGAAATAATAAGGAAGGTAAGCAAAAGAATTGATCGATACGCTATCAAGTCGTTTTAAAACTTTTCTCTTCTTCGTTATATTATATTTTCTTGTATGTAAAATTATTATAATTATTGTCTTTGAAGAAAAATTCATATCTCAGTCAATTTTAAGTAATTATACGAGTATTTGATTATATTATAAAAATTAGGAAAATAGTTTCAAATATGAATATCTGAAATTACAAACATAGTAATAGACTTACGAGTGCATTTTTTTACCATATTTGAAACGCATATATCAAGATGCTATTTATAAATTATTTATAAAATAATCCTATTTTCTTTTTTTACCATCGTTCTATCTTTCCATCATACCGTTTAATTCGAAAGATAAAATAAAAGAGTTAATCAACTAATCGCTGAGGATGCGATATGAATCATAAAACTCTGCCTTTATCAATTTGTTGATAATTATTATGTTTAAATGTTAAAACGGTATCCATGACGAAAATGTATATATTTATTTTATATTTTTATATTTTTAACATAAATCATTTTTTGGATAATCTTGTTGAAATTTTTAAAACTTTCAAAGCATTTCTAAATAAGATATCCGAATAATACGTATAATTATTAATTACTATTTGCGTTCCTAATTTATCACGAATGAAAATAGTTAAATTTTATTAACAGATTATGTTTGATTAAAATAATTTCACACATTTTTACATTAGAAATTCATTCAATAGTCAGACAGACAGTTTAACTATGCTTCTGATGGTAACCTGAAATAATGGTTTTCCCTCAAAGAACGATCATTTAAATGAGAGTAACCACTAAATTTCACCTCGATTAATCCTCAAAAATTCAAGCGCACGACTCTCCTCTCGCGAGGAAAGGGTTGTTACCAATTTGAATATTTATAAGGCAAGAAGGCCTCGCGAACTACCCGAGTAGCTTCGCAGATATCGCTAGTTTGGCCGTTCTTTGAATACATTAATGGAATTTGAGAAAACTCACTGTTCGTCGAACGATATGCATTTTATCGTCATTCGAATCGCGAATAGTAAAAATACGTGAAACGAATAATATGTAGAACAGATTTGTACCTGAAAAATGTTTATCCATTTAAAATTTAGCTATTGTATTTGTGTCTTTATCTCTTTGCCATTGTGCACTTGAATTTTCGATATCTTACATATTATTCAATAGAGAAATTTATTTGTGCAAATGTAAATCAAAGTTGAGAAAATCTTTGGTATAAAGCAACCCGAGTTCTCATTATTCCACACGGTGTCGCGTCACTTAATTCTATTCTACGCGTGTAGATCCTGTCGGTGTGCGCGATCGGTCGAATCATATTTTTCTCCATGATCCGTTACATATTTTTGCATAAAAAAATCATCGGTTGGCGGTACACATTCCAATCCGCATAAAGCAATGCCACCGTCTGGGTATTTATCACGAAATTTGTAAAAAAAAAAAAAAACGACGGTAGGGAGATGCAATTTTAAATAGTAGCAATTATCGAGTGCATTCCGGCGTGCAACGTATGCGCATACGCGTAACAGACCGTTGCAAATATCGTTCGGCGAGGGTGCGGCATGAAGGGGGAAATAAACAAAAATATACTTGCTTGCACGTGTATCAGATTGTGTCGGCCGAAATATTGGATTGATACCGGATTTGCGTTAATTGTGCGCATTTGTGCGAAAATAAATCATGGATCTGGCATTCTGGCGGCACGTAGCAAAATGCAAATGGGGCATGCCATGTATCGCTAATTATTCCCGGAAATTCATGAATCCTCATCGGTGGCGGATTATTTTCAATTTTCTGACTTCAACACATCCCGCGCTTGTTCGAGCTCTATACTACCTACCTTTACGCGCGTCTTTTCCTTGGATTTCACAAATCTGTTAAATTTATAAACATCCTGTTTTTACGAATCACATTTACAGGACACGAGGTCGGCCTGAAAGTGGATTTATTTTGGACGCGCTATCTCGAGCTACTTTTAATCGAATGGTAATCGATTACGTGAACCCGCGTTTTTCCGCGATAACAAGTGGCGAAATTCAGTAAGGTGCGACGGGCGGCTGCCGAAATGTCGAAATTTCTACTTCGCTCCGTGAACGCGCTTTGACGAACCTAAGTTGAACCTCCCGCTGTCGCGCTTCCCTCTCGTACCTCTTGTGCGTTCACCTTAAATTACGACACGACAGTCTGTCCCCTTCTCCTCTCTCATCGGATTAGGCATCGGGTAACCGATTGTAAATACGAGGGAGCCAGGATGCGGAAAAGGGGAATTGAAGTTTGCCGAGGTTGTAAGAGGAGACGCTGGTAAATATCTTCCTGCCTGCCTTCCTTCCACGATTCCTTTCAGCAGTCACCGGTCGCCCCAATCCACATCGTCGTTGCCATGAACCGATCCGATCCGATCCGTTGAGCTGCAACGCCTGCGTTTCGAGAGTGCGGCGGTATCTTATCGTCAATAGTTCTCCCTTGTGTTGTTCCTCGGAATATACTTTAACAAGATGTCGTATTTTTGTTAATTTATCGAGCGTCACGAATGTCGATAATAAAAGTCTCAGAGCTAATCGATTGCACGAATGAGGCGATGTCAGTTAGTTCAAAAGCAATTTTTGCGACAGTGACTCTTATATAAGCATCTGATAAAGCGCGATATGCGTGATATAATGAAATTGCTTCCCGCGCAAACGCCATGTATTAAAATCATATATTTATAAACTGCTTGCATTATTATAATTGTTTTTTTAAGAGCGTATTTAGAATATTAAGAATTCATATTGCTCATACAATTTATTCTTTTATGTACGTTTCGCGTAGCATACGTTCCCTGAATTTTTTTTTTAGAAAACTGTAGAAAACTAAGGCGATCTACGGTGGGACATGAGACAAATCCGCGAGTGCAAAGCGAGAAATCGTCCCGAGGACGATCTCTAATCGGCGACCGGTGGAAAGTAGACAGGATCGTAAAAGGAGAGCCCGAGAGAGAGTCCGTGGCATATCGTCGCGCGTTATTTCTCAAATAGCTGCTCCGGTTGCTCTCTCATAAGACGATTACGTGGAAGAAGTAAAAAAAGAATTAAAAATGTCAAGTTGAAAAGTAGAGTTCCGTGACCGATGCAAGCGGTCGGCGGAGGGTTAGAAGAGCATATTGAAAGAGGCATAAAGAAGAGAGGACGAGTGCCGAAGAAGGAAAAATCTCCGCGGGCGGAGATGGGGGCGGAGGGAGGGGGATGGAGAAACGAGCATCCTCGACGAGACAAGGCGAGTTGTTGGAGATTCGCCTCCCTACCCTTCCTCTCATCCCGTCGTCAGCCCCGTTTCTTCATTTTCCGTTACTCCTTGTACTAGCTCGCGGTGGATCGCCCTTCGTCTCCCTTCCCCGCGCGCTGCGAGGAGGGCACGAAAACAAGTCGGAAACCTCGCAGAAGCGGAGACAGAGAAACGGAGGCTCTGCCCGCGTCGGCACACCGTACTCTTTGGTACCGACATCGCGGTTTGCCTTTTACATTACATTTATTTTACTTCATTTTTCGCGGGATAAATGTCTTCGGGGCTTTGCCAGTCGGTTAGGAAAATGCTTTCATAATGTCCTCCTGTGCCGCGGCCCCCTCGTACCGCCACCCCCCGTCGTCTCGCCTCACTTCGCCGCGAGCCTTTAGTTTCTTTCTTCGCCCGCGTGCGCGGAACAGAGGAATAAAATAATATCCCTATCTGCGTTTGTTACGTCTACCGAGAGGAACTAATATTGTGGATCTTGTCGCGGTTCAAAGCAAGTGGATATTCGGATATAGAGTTGCGTCGATGTTATTAGCTGATAAAAAGATGATCTCGCGAGAAACGGACTTGCAATTTTTTACGGATTTCCGTATCAAGAGATATCAAAAAAGGTATCAAAAAAATATAACTTGAAAAGACATGCAACATTTACGAGGATATCGACAAAAATTTATTAATTTTGATAGCATATGGTTTTCTGCGTGTATGAAAAAGAGCTGATACATCGCTAGCTTGAGTGTAATTAAAGTAAATTAAAAAATTATCTTTTTACAAAAAGGTAAAAAAAAGAATGTCAAGTATAATAAGATTTATGTAAATCGCATTTATTTAAATATTCAAGATCATAAAAAATAGAAATAAAATCTAAGTACATATCTTTGCACTAAGAGTTTTCCTTTTTAAACCTAAGTGTTATATCACAATCTTATTAAATACTATCTATTAGATTAATTATTAAATAATATCCAATACTCAACTCTAATATGTACATCATTTATATAAAAGATGTGATAAAAAAGTGGCGCTAAGTTATAGTTTCATTACCTCGAAAGTTAAATGTACAATTGCTTTTACAAAAGGGAAATCAATCAATGATTCGTATCTTTGCATTCCCATTGAAATTTTCTTATTCTAAAACCCAAGTGATGGTAGTGGATTGTTAAATAAATTGTTGAATATATTTTGTATATTTGTTTATGAATTTGTCAATAATTGTATTAAATATAGGAAATATTTTTTTAAATATTTATACATTATAGTTAATTAAGAAAGATAGTAATTAATAATGTCATTTCATTATTTATTAATTAAAAATGACTTAAAAATGACGATTAAATGACAATATATTTATGACGATATTATTTTGTAACAAATGTTACGTTTATTTTATGTCATTTTTTAGTAAACTGACGTCGAATGACGAAAAATGACTTTAAATCATCGTCATAATGACGTCATCTTACAACAAATGATACTCTACACAGATTTTATAGGAATAATCTTAGTATATTCGGTATAATCACAGTACATTCACAGTATAAATATTCGTATGATATCATGTGCTGTTAGGGTATATTCGATATATTCTGAAGACGAGCTTAAGAATATGAGAAATGATATACCATTAAGATG